CCCAGGTGAAATTGATCTATTTCCTTTCTTAAGGATTTAAAGATTAAAAATAAAATCTCAGTTGAGAATATTAATAGTAATAACGAGGAAGAAGTCATATTTGAATGAATTATTTTTATTTGGTACTAAACATACTGAATAAAATTTATTATAAGATTTATTATAGATTAGATATATTTATATACAAATAGCTAATTTTGAGTAAAACATTCGGTTATTTTTTTCTGTCGTTTATGGGAGATAGAAGAAGATAGGAGGTCTAATAGATGTTTTTTATTTTCTGATAGAGATGAAGATAAATAGTTTGTTACCAAGAGTTGTTTCTTATTTTTATCCACTTTGTAGATTTCTTTAATTGTTTCTAAAGCTTGTTTAGTATTACACGAGAGAAGTGACGCGCAGATATCAGCAAGACTGTTGAAATAATACATAATATCAATTACTTTTTTTGGGGTATATTCTTTCGCCAAGTACATTTTCTGGGAAATATCTAGTTTTTTTTGCATATGATACAAAATGTAGTATTCGAAGCAACCAGGAACCAATTTTTTGCCAGTTTTTTTATATTGTTCAGCAAAATTAAGAATCATGGTATTTCCTTTTTTGGGTTTTTTTTCAGATGTTGTATTGACGAAAGTTTGTTTTTTTAATTAGTGCATGTTAATGAATTCGCGAAGAGTAATTATTTTTTTCCTATGGGTTGGATCATATTTCGCTGTCAATTTGAATAGTTCTAAATTTAGCGTTGTTGCAAAAGTATATCTAGAAATCACATCTCGAGCTATTTCTTTTGGCGATTTTAATTCCGAATCCAATAATTGTTTTTGATCATTAAATCCTAAACAAGACCAAATAAGATCTGTAGCAACCGTTTTATAAAATAGAGATACGTTACGCTTTACAATTTTTAAACCTTTTATTAAGAGTTTTGGATTCGTAAAATTAGACGCATTTTCATGAACTATGCCACTATATTGTTTTTTGTGAAGAAAAATAGAAGGATGAAGAACTTTTTTATATGCCATGGTCATAAATGGAAGACCCGTTTCCTGTTCCATGAAATAGTTTACTTCAGGTGTGATCTGTTTTGTGAATTCTATGGATTTTTTTATAGATTCTAAGTAGTGGAGTTGTTTGGCATGAGAATAGAGAGAGTCGATTTCAGAGAAATGAGTTTCTGGAATCGTAAAGAAGACTGAATCGGTATCACTATATATGATGTTGCAGTGTTTTGATTCCAAGAAAGTGATTACTTTTTTAATAGTTTCACATGAAAACGCAGTGACGGATGATGCAATCGTCTTTTGATAGAAGGGTGAAAAGATATAACCAGTTTCACCATAAATGGAATTGGCAAAAATTTTTAACACATTTTTTTGATGTAAAATATGAAAGGTTTACAGGATCATCAGCATAGATTTTCATAGATTTTTTGGCTTCGGCCCAAGCTTTCAATAATTTTTTACATATTAGAGGCATTAAACCCATTTCATTCTCACAGTTACGATGGAATTTAAATTGTGTTATAATCTGATCATTATTGAAAATCGTATTTATAGACGAATCTCTTGTTAAAATGAGTATTTTAGTTTCAAGAGATATGTTCATCGTGATAATGGAATTTGGATACATTGATGTAAAGTCGAGATCGGGAACTGGGTGATTTTTTTCATTTTTTCGTAGAACAAGTACCAGACCTCCCTGATATTTTTTCCCAATTTCAACTACACTCTTGCGATTCATCGAAATTAAAATGTTGTGACGAAAAGCAAATCGTCTATAAAGATTACGAACCAAATATCCAACTCCATTCATGAAAATATTAGATATTGTGGTACAAGATATTGACGCGAGTTGAAAATAATTTTGTAAAATATTTCGTTTTATTATCAATTCTTGACATCGAAGCGAATCAGTTGTACAGTAATATATGATGTCTGCAGCATAATGTTCAAGTTGGTTTTCAGAGACCAAAAAATAGTTTATGTATGATTTGTAGTCAACATTTTGCAAAGACACCAACTGGGATGAAAAATCCTGAATTTTTAAAAGATCGTTCTTGAATTTTATCGCATTCACGTAGATAAATATTGATTTGAAATCTGATTTAGTGGGAAGATATGGTAAATCAATTTTGCCTTGCAAACCACAACGTACAAGAACATCATTAAGAGTATTTTAAGCTCGGTTGGAAATGTTTTTTTAGCCCAGACCAGAAGATCTAAGAATACGGTGCCAGAGATGTAATAATATTTACAGATTATTTTTTCAGTAGGATTAACTTTTATAGAACGATTGTTAATATTAATCCCTGCAAATTCATATTTTCTCATAACCTCATCCAAATCTCATTCTTTATATCAAACCTCAGTTTCACGAATATTTATTATAACATCGTCAGTTGTTCCAAAAAGAATATTATTAAATTGTTTTGTTATTATATTGTTCTACTTTTGATAGTATAAAATTCCAATCATAACCACCAGTGTTATAGCCAAATTCAAAATTGGGTTTAAAATTATGAAAAATTCTCACAAAATTCAACAGAAGTGAAATTTCCGAATCATATATTATAAAATGAAAATTAAAAGAGGGGCAATCAGAATATTTAGAAAAAAATAGTTGTTGATTAATTGGCAGTGTTGTAATGCAGTAGCGTTGCAATAGAATTTGTTCAAAGATCCAATAAAAATCTATCTGTATAGCATATATATATGAAGTAGGTTCATGACCGAAAGGAAAAAAACCAGGGCCTCGAGTGTCTGATGATTCAATATCTCAAGATAATGATAATAAACGAGGTAATAATACACGTTTTTAATTTTTTCTATGTTTGATAGGGTTAATTGCATATTATCAATCACATTTTTGTTGTTTTTGAGTTTATACCAGCCGACAAGTTCAAAATCTTTTCATGCGCAACCTTTCGATAATAACATGAAAGATCATCAGAATAGATGTCGTATAACTCCCACCAATCATCTTTTTCAGTATTATTGTTATTATCGTCAAAAATGAATTTTAACTTAGCATCAGTCTTATATTTTATCATTTTTAGAGCATTTTGTCGTTCCGTATGATTCAAAAAATATACACGCATGAAATCAAACTTTGCTCCCGAATCGAATAGCTGAACAGATTTAAGTATTTCATAGTGGCTAGGAAATATTTCTTTATCTGCCAAATCATTGAGATAAAACGTAAAATTATGTGTACTATCGAGTTTGATGTCAAAAAATGGATAACTGATATTGAAATTGAGATTCAACTTGGTACCATTTTCATGAACAGCATTAATCAATAATATATATTTTTTTTGTTTTGTGAATGAATCTGTCGTGTTGTAGATAAAAAAATATGATGAATCTGATTGGATAATAGAGTGTTGGTGTATGATATTCAATTTTTTTGATAAATTATTAGAATAGCTTGAATATGAGACACATGAATAAATTTTAGTTGGTGCAAGATACACTAACTAAATAAATACAATTGTAAAAGAATAAAAAAAGAGTAAAAGAATAAAAAAAAAGAATAAAGATTTAATTAAAATGAGATTTTAAAATATTAATATATTCGTTTTTATCACATTCAGTTGATATTTTAATATGCTCAGGATAGAGCCTGTCGATATGCTGCTTATAGAAATCACGAATTTTGTAAAGATATTCGCTTTCAACTTTCTCGTAAATGCGTCTCTGTTAGAATCGTATCTTTTGACAATAAATCATCATTTCCTTTTCACAGTTAAAATAAAAGATTTTTTCAATATTTTTAATGAGAGAGATACTGTCACACACTTTTTTAAAATATTCTAAGAAGTCACTATCAGTGATGTTGGCGAGGGTGAAAATTTCTGTGTTGAGATGTGTATGATCAAGAATTATATAATCGTAATCAGACAATCTGTTGATCTCTTTTATAGTAATTGAGAATAACATATTGAAAAAATGTAGCATTTTTTTCAACATCCTTATAAAAGAGTTTAAGCTCACG